CCCCATCCCCACACTGTGCTCTGGGCCAGGGTCTGGACGCCTTCAGGCTGGTCCTGTTTCTCACGAGTACGTGTGGCCAAGTTCTCATTGCCCCCGCATTCCCCCACCTTGTTTCTGGGTCTGTAAAATGGGCGTAGTAACCCAGCAAGAACGGATATGCGACCTCGGGCTTCATCTGCCCCTTTTTGGTTCAGTGGCCAGCGGATCTGGCCTTTCTCCTAACAGAGTCTGGGGCCTTGGGCACCTCCGAAGCAGAGGCTGATGCTGTCCTTGGGCCGTACAGCCCCCGTGCCCACCCCCATGCTCTCCTTGGCCCCATGATGGCCCTCTGACCTTTCGTTCCCGTCTTTGTCTTCGGGCCACACTTTCCTCCAAAAGCCTGGTGGAGGTGAGGATTGAAGGTAGCCCGCCCCCGCCCTTCCCCCCTCTAAGCCGGCGTGTCTTCCGCCCACCTGAGCGGCCCCGCCAGCCGCCCTCCGGAGAACACAGATAGGGCCCAGTTCCACCACCCACCGAAGCAGCAAGTGGGGCAGGCCACACACCCCCGTGCCTCAGTTTCCCTCCACAGTAGTATATTGGGGCAGTTTTCCCTCCCCCACCTCTTTCCCCGGCGAAGGCAGTGGGGGTGGAGATTCCAGTGGATGTGTCGAAGTGCCTTTGAGATGGTAACCGCGCCGAGGGAGTCCCCGCCTCTCCATATCAATGACATTCCGGCCCCAGCTACAGTCCCCGCTGGGCCCCAACTTTAACCCTTTGGTTCTCGGATCCAACCAAGTCCGGGTGGACCTGGGGACCCAAGACCCCGCCTGAGTGAGGGCTGAGGGTGGGAAGCGCCTTCCGGGGTCTCCCCGCCATCGTCCTTGCTGCCCACCCCTCCTGCGAGCGGTTCCCCTGACCGCCTCTGGCGTCCTCTCGGCCCCTCCCTGCTCTCGGACAGATCGTCCCACTTTTAACCTCCCCGAAGGCCTTGAGGGGAGGTGCGTTGTCTTCTCAAAGGGGGGAAAGAGTAGACTTAGGTGGGAGGAAGCTGAAGCTTCCCCGGGCCCCCCACCACGGGTCTGGTTCCGATTGGTTTGGGGGTGTCTTCAGCCTCTGAGCACTCACCTCCCGTGTGTGTGGGTCTTTGTGCTTGAGTGTTGACGTGTCAAGCCCGAGAATTGGGATCTAAAACAATTAGGGTCCTCAGTGCCACCTCTGGGCACGATGTGTGTGTAGTGTTCCCCC